AATGTACAAGGGTGTTTGCCATTCAGCACTCTGTTCTAAGATATTCCTGAGGATGAAAATCTGTTCAGTTGTCCCTCTTCCTCTTCGGTAGGCAGCCTGTTCTTGCTGTAATTTCTTCTCAACTCCATTCTGCATCCTCATCAGGAGCATTCTGCAGAAGACTTTGTATGGTACTGAAAGTAAGGATATCCCTCGGTAGTTGTCACAAATAGACAGATCACTATCATTTCAGCTTGTTATTTATGACCAGATTTCCATGGCTCATTGCTGGCTACAGCCTCTATTTTGGTAGAACTTACTTTGTAGTATTTCACCACTTCAAAAACTATATGCAGTTTCTTTTACATTGTAATTATTCAGCTTAGATAAAGAGCTTAAAATTTATAACTCTTGTCAGGGATCTTTTATGTATGTGTCCAAACCAGTACCAGGACTTATACAAGTTTCAACCCAGTTACGAGGCTACCCAGCTCAGTTTCTGTGTATTAAATTCTTCAACTACAATGCAGAACTCTTTTGTTTTATTCTACCAGGCCTAAAAACCATTCCAGAATTTTGGTATGTTGAAACTGGGCTAATATGGTAGATATTACAGGTACATGAAATCAATACCTACATTAATTTTATTATACACTGAACTCACTCTCTCTCTCTTCTGATTGGCCGAAAGCGTACAGTGAATTTTTTAAATCAGCACCTGTGACATCATCTAGCTGCAGATCATACAATAATCACATCAAGGACACTCAAGGTCACGGGTAATCATGTCATGTATGACCATGGTGCATGATTTCTAAGGGTAATCATGTCAAGTTCCTGCACTTTGTGTTGCCTGCCCTCAGTGAAGAAGTAAAAACATACCTTCCATTTTTTTTTGCTCAATATATAATAAAACAATTATTAGATTCGACTACTATACATGGCCAAAGTAAGTATTGAATAAACAGTAGAGCTATGGTATAGAGTGTTTTCAATGACGTGGCCAGCAACCATGCAAATTGTTTGGAACAAAAGAAACTTTTGGCACGAAGTTCAACTACCACCTTTCTTTGTCCACCGAATGCACGAAAGGAATGAGTTCTTCTCTCAGAAAAGTTAAATTTCCTTCATCGAGACTTTTAAGACTGGTGTATAAGCCATAATTCGCTTTCCACATTCTTAGCCTCTTTGTCAGAAAAAACTCACAATTATGATAATTCTTCCATTTGCTGCTTATTTAGCGATTTTGTTTTGGACGAAAGTATACTCTTACCATTAGTTTTTTGCCTTTGGTGTTTTTCTCCGTTGACTATCAGAACTTTTGCATTCAGCCTCAGCTGTTTCTTCGTCACTATCCTCAGCTTCGCTTTCCGAAACACTTGATTCCAAAGAAGAATCAAGAAAAGAACAACTTGTATCGGAAAATTCCGAGGACGATTCGAGTCCAGTTTGTCCGCCATTTTGAATAACGAAACAGTACAGCAAGAATATTTTTATTGGTTCAACTTAGGGGCAGGTAGGAGGCGTGGCTGATGATGTCATATTTTCGCGCCAATAGTAGTTCTAAAAATAGCTCAAGGTGGGCCACTCAAGGTATGAAACAGCCGTAGCACCGGCCCAATTAAGAGATGAAGGCTCAATGTGGTTTGCTCCTGTACATGTAAACAACAACCGAGCACGATCCAAAGGGTAGGCGGAGGTTTCGCACCTATGCGACTTCGCACTCACCGAGTTCGCACCCACATCGAACTCAACTAGCGATCAAGTGCTGAAAACTTATCTTTCTCTTTCCGGGCAAATAGGAAAAAAAGACAACATTGAAACAAAATCGCATAAAACATATTTATTTCTCGTTCTTTAATAATAATAATAATAATAATAAGTAGTAATTGGACCGAGTGGAGTACAATTCAGGGAGTAATTGCGCGAGTAATTTCAAAATCGGGTGAGCGCGAAGTGCGAGGCCGATTTTAAATTACGAGCACAATTACTCCCTAAATTGTACAACACGAGGTCCAATTACTAATTAATCATATTTATAACAAATTTCGGAGTTAGAAATGTCTGTTGAGAACTTCTTTTGAGCGAAAATGTCTGTAATGCTTTTATTTTCATAAGTTTTGAAAACTGTAGGAAACAGTGCGAAGAAAGCCATTAAAGAGGGCGTAATTGACGTGCGAATCACGTGGGTATCCAATTGGGGAAAGTTTAAATTAGACACCCACGTGATCGCGCGCCGATCACGTGACAAATAGGCACATGGAGAACCAATCACGATTGAAATTTTTGTTATAGATACGATTATAACAAAAATAATAATAACAATAATAGTAATAATAATAATAATAATAATAATAATAACAATAAAATCAGTGTATTATTGATCTGAAGGCGAACTCGAAATAGAAAGTTTATAATGAGTTCAGGGGTGCGAACTTAACTGGGTGTGAAACAGGTCGCATTCATCCAAAGCCGTCCTGTGAAAAATAGAAGAGAAGTCGGCAAAAAAATAGCATAATGAGGCAAACCGCATTAAGCTATTTATATGTAACTACAAGAAGACAACTATCCCATGAAATACAACACAACTTGGGCAAAAAACCCAACTGCAATATTCAGGTTAATTTACAAAATTAATGTACTGATCACACGTAATTCAAACACAAGCACGAAAACTATGATGAATGCACTGTAATTTTGTTGCTGTTTACCAAGGTGGCAGCAAGTTTGCACAAGAAAACAGGAAAACACAAACTGCACGAATCATTGTCTTCTCTGACAAGCGAAACCCGCCATTTCAATTTGAATCGCTGACGCACACTTGATACTTTTGTGCATACTCAGGTCTTCAAATACATAAAAATACATTAAATTTATTTATGTATTTGGTTCTGCTCTGCCTCATGTGAAGTTCGGCGTCAGAATCAAAGTCGGTCCACAGCCGTTATTCCCGGCCGAGACAGGTGTGAAGAACGGCTGAGCCGATCCGAATTCAATCAGCCATTTTGAACTGATTTGGAGGCCTTACTTGACATGAACTTAATTGTTTGAATTCAATTCAACTCATGTGAAGTACGGCATATGAACCGGGCCTGAGACATGTGACCGTCACTGATTTTGTTCTATAATCTCGTTATCGCTTTCAGGACCTTGTCAACATGTATTGTGATCTGTGCAAGACCAGGAAGCTTCGAAGAGAATTTCCGTTAGATACCATAACAGAGAAATGCGATCATGCCCCTTTGCATTGTCTTAGGGTAAGTGCTGTAATTTAGACTTGTCAAGCTTAGAAGCAGAGCTCCCATCAAATACTAATCATCTACTCGACACAATAACCTTAAAAGAAATTCACCAATATTATAAGCAGTTCACCAAACTGAATGAACTGAATAAAAAACAGACAAACAAACAAAAAACCTGAAGAATCTACATAAAAAAATCTACAAATTACATGCATATCACTACTTCTGAGTATCAAATTAATAGTAAATGCCGTCTCAACGAAGGACGGTCGAATGACAGAAATGTCAAAGAAAATTCGTTTAAGGTGGCTCAAAACAGTATCCAGCACTGAGATTTTAATGGGTCATTATAATCACTCTTTACCACTTGATGCTACAATCATGGTATCAAAAAACTACCCAATCATTGGTGAACACGTTGTTACCCTTTTCATGACACAATAGGTTACCATAGCAACAGTATGACCTGCTTACAGCTTTAGAAGCTTATGATTCAAAACGGCACCGTGAATTTTTTTTATATTATCAAATTTTAATTAGCATGATAACATGCAACTTTTGGCAAAGTTTAAAAAAAAAATCTGTATATAGGGTTCAGAGCCACCTTAAATTTTCAAAATGTTAAGGTGCTTTTGATACCATGATTGTAGCATCAAGTGATAAAGAGTGGTTATAATGACCCATCAAAAGCCTAGTGCTGGAAACTGTTTTGAGCCACCTTAGGATTGATTATCATTCAAAGTAAAGCCAAGAAATGCATTTAGAGGACGGAAAACGTCCAAAAAAGGCGAAGATTTGTGTGTCCAAATGTAATAATTATTCACACTAAAGTGTAATTTAAGATTATTTTTGCTGACGGCTTTGCCAGTTTGCAGTCACTTTCTCAAATAGAAGTTAAATCCCATTCGCTTTTAAAGCATAAAATGGTTTCTTAACCTTTCTTGGTTTCCAACCGTTACAGAATAAATTTTAGCAGTCTAAGAAGGGATGTCCCTACTAACACAAAGAAAATTTTAAAACTCGCCGGGTTTATTTATTACAGTTTTAGACGTGAGGTTATCGGAAAAAAACCGATAGGAAACTATTTGTTTACAAGATGCAACTTACAACAACTGACAGAGCAACTCAAGTGTTATTGTTTATAGATTAGTGAAATTGAAACAACGAAATCTGTAGATGTCCCACAGCACGGTTTCAAATCAGGAAGACTTTACAACTGCTATTGACGATAAGGTTATCTCACTGAAGCAGCTGGATAATTTTTATAGAAAACGCGACAAAAGTTTCTACAACAAAGAGTGGCTTACCGCAATTTGACAATTCACATCAGTGTGAATCTTCCAGGCAGAAACTTCTGGCAAAAGTTATGAAGACTGAACTGTCCTAATCTTTTCACCGCCATTCTCTATTCCTGGCTTGCTCCACTTCTCGGTGTTCCTCGCTTATATTATGCCTCTTTTCTTTAGCCCTCGCTCGATCTGCCTGACAGCATTGTTCAGTTCATGAACAATTTTACAATAACTGTCTAATTTCTCGCACGCTGATTGGCTCATTCTTATCATCTATAAGAGTTTATATAATAACCCAAGTTATTCTCGCATTTTGATTGGTTCTCGCCTATGATCTATTAGAGGACAGACGCACGATTGACGTCATCATTTCAAAG